GCAAGGTTCAGAGTAGACGCAAACCAACTGTTCTGTTATCAGCTGAGCATGTGACCCATTGGCACCACCTAGAAACCTGATTTAGACGCTCGGGTGGTATCCTGGTGACAACCCCAAGGTCAGCCTTCGAAACCACATGCCACTCTGCGGGAGAAACGGCACTCTACCCACTTAAAGGGCTACAGTGTCTGAAACGCGCAGGGGAAGAAGCTCCGCACTGCCCTATAAGGTCGCTGTAAGTTAGAGTTAACTCAGTAGCAGTGAGCCGGGGTGTGCTAGTGATGCATAGGTTACAATCTGGGTTGCAAGATCAGCAGTTTGAAACCACCAGTTACTCATCGCGGGAAAGAAAAGCCTTTCTATTCCTATAAAGATTTATTGTCTCTGAAATCCCCCAGGGGAGTTCTACGCTGTCTTACAGGGTTGTTGTGAGTCAGAAATGACTCAATGGCAGTACGTTTTTAGCAAAAACCTAATTATGTAACAGAATACTTTAAAAGGCAATTTTCCAGGTTTCTGGGCAAATTTATAGTGCAATAAGATAGACAAGCCTTATCATAAAGCAATAAAGTGACACTGTAAGTTTCCAATACATGAAAGGGTGCCCTTAGATGAAGCATGTGACAATCTCCAGGCCCCAAGGAGTGCATTAAACTTGATGACCCTGCTGAGGTGGTACATTGTTGCACATCCAGGACTGTTCTAGTAACATTTTTGTTGAAATCCTGCCAGTTGACTTTTGAACTCCGAGCCTACAAAACTGCGTCCCTTATTCATTAAACAGCCTGCTCCCTCACGAGCAGTCTGTGTTCCCGTTATCACATAGGGTTGGCTCTGTCTTCGCAGGGTTTGTAAAGTGATTGAGAAAATGGATCCAACCAGATAAGAAAGCAAAGCAAACTCGTTGAACCTGTTATTTGGGTAAGCTAGCAAACCATGCTTACTTAGCAAGCCCGTCAACAATGTTACCACCATTTCTACAGTGTTGTCTTGAAGACTGATTTCCCTAGTGGAATTCACAAGGGGCTTGTCAGTTTCCCAGTAGGGACCGGCAGTACTCCAAACCCGCAGGCAAACACCTAGGTGACTCACACAAGAACCATTGCCTTCCATTTGAGTTGGGTGCCCTAAGAGAATCCCACATCCCTTATCTCCTGTCCTGACTTTCCTCAGACTTGCAGCTTCTCGGATTCGAGGGGTCATTGCTCTGCCATGGAACTTCCCTTTGTTGTGTAAGTATCTGTTTGTGTCACTTGTTCCCACTCTGCCCTCAACGTCGTGCTTCATCCATTGCATCCTTGAAGGCTAGCACATTGTGTGGAACTTGCAAGAGTTTGCAGCACTAAGCCAGCTGAGCCTTAAGCTGATCCTCTTCCGAATGTCAGTTGAGTGGGGACTCCTCAGCCAATAACTGTATTTTCTTCACAATGTACACACCCTTCACCCACTGCCAAAGAGTCAATGCCAACTCATAGCGAGCCTATAGGACAGAGAGAGCTGCCGGTAGAACTGCCCCGGTGAGATTCCAAGAGCACAGTTGTTTACCTGTAGAAAGGCTTCTCTTTCTCCCAAGGACTGGCTGGTGGTTTCAAACTGCTATCTGGTTAGCAACTTAATGCATAGCCACTAGGCCACCAGAGCTCATAGCATATCCCTAAGCTCTTAAATAGATCCTTTCAAAGGTCTCATGTCCCCACATTAAATTACCTGTTTTTAGAGTGCCCCTATACGGTAGTTAAGTGACGAGTTCAAGAGTTAGAATAACTTGGGATCAAACCAAGTTCCATAACTTCAGGAAGCACTTAGCCTCTTTGTGCATCACTTTTTCCACCTATAAAATGAGGGATAATAGCGTATTGTTTTGAAGACCAAAATGGACGCATGTATGTAAAATGCCTAACTCTTAGATTTATGATCAGAACTTAATACATGACAGTTCTCATTATTTTACTTGAGTTTTATTTCTGTGTACCAAAGGGAACAAAGATGAGAATAATTAGGAGACAATATGTACAATATGATCTCCTAAGTTCTTTTTTAAATCCTGAGGCTGTACTACCATTGGGGTCATTTATAACGAAAAATATACCCTCTTAATTATGGTAGGGTGACTATGCCTGTAATGAGAACCACACTATAATCTAAGGTAACCCTGACCAAACACTCAACCATATACATTGGGAGCGGAGGGGGTAGGGGAGGTAGCCTCAACTCTCTAGCTCCCTCATTTGATTACTTAAACTTCCCATTATGTGAGCCATTTACTCAATTTTACTGAACTTTTCACAAACCAGAAAGTCACTGGACTTAGTCCAACTACTATAAAATTTTACTGCTCTCTTTGTTATCACATAATGATTCCTAAGAGTTAACGTTTTACTTTTCTTCTAAAATAAGAGATTTGATTCAAGGAAGAAATCTCATTATAAATACTAATGATGCTAAATCCAGTGCTTTATTACTCTACTAAAAGCTGATAAATGAGCAGAACAAAGTTTAATGTCAGGAATAAAGCACAGGTTCTTGGTATTGTATTACATTGTCTTCTCCTCCTCCTTCTTCCTCTTCCTCCCTCTTATTTCTAATTACAGATGTAATGTTTATGTGCCTAAAGAATATGCCATTCCCTAAGAATGCAAATTGGAAACAACACAGAAATAATACTGTACTTAGTAATAAATGCTCAAAGTGCTTTATAACATAGTTATTTCCTCCAAAATGCTCTTTTAAATATGGCTATAAAATGTTGCCACAATGGGCATTTACGATATAATGCTATATGCATTCTTAGAAACCAACACATCCTATAAAATATATATACCAGTGCTCGCTTTGGCAGCACATATACTAAAATTGGAACGATACAGAGAAGAATTAGCATGGCCCCTGCTCAAGGATGACACGCAAATTCATGAAGCATTCCATATTTTTTCTAATGTTAAAATTATATATATACCAAAAAGAATATAGCTTATGTAAAATAAAGAGTTAAGGCAAAACTACTCAACAAACAACTGTGAGAATTCTGACAAAGTGGTTGTGGTAACTTAGTCTTTTCATATCCTGCAATTAAAAAGAAAAATAGAGAAACCTAATACGGAATAACATTCTTAACAAATTGAAAAGCTATCCCCTGAACCACAATTATGTGGAAAGTAGAAAGGGGAAAACCACTGATAGATAGAACCAATATATGTAACTGTAGATCTAACAAAGGAACTTTAGTGCTGCAATATTTGGACATGCAGAAGCTAAGCAGAAGGTTGGCAATTCAAATCCACTAATGGCTCCCCAGGAGAAGAGACCCGGTGTTCTGCTCTTGTAAACATACACAGCCTAGGAAACTGGATGGGGCAGTTCTCCTCTGTCACGTGGGATTCAACCGCACACAACAACACTATCAGATCAATAACCAATGAAAGATGTAAATGAAAAGATGATGTATATGACTGATGCATGCATTAGTAATGTAAATATAGGTCAAATATCAAAAACTGAAACGTGAATAGGGAGAACATCTGGAAAGTAGAATAAGTATACTGACCATCTTATATTTATTAACCTACTAGAATGTGGCTATGAGTCAGAATCAACTAGCTGACAGTGAACTATTAATCAGAGAAAAAGATATTAAATCACATTTTACAATATTGGGGGTGTGTGAAATATTAGTTGATACTGATATATTTTATACTAGAGACCCAAAAGATAACCAAGGGTGGGAAGAGGAAACTAAGGTATTTTTTCCCAATCTTTGTATAAAGATAACTTTTAGACAAAGCACAAACTTTCCTGAATACCACAACAATCAGAAAAAAAACCTAAAAACCTAGAGAAGAAACATAAAATAAATCACATAGAGAACATGCAGGATAATGTGAAAAAAGCAAGATAGGAAAATCATGTAATATGTTAAGCTATTTATTTGAGGAAACATATGCAAAAAACATTGCTACAGAAATGCTACAGTGGTGGCTCAATGGTCGAGCCTTTGCCTCCCATGCAGAAACCCTAAGGTCCCGGGTCACACATGCTTTGTACTCAGCTGCTAGCCTCAAGGTTGGCAGTTTGAATTTACCCCAGAAGAAAAGGCCTAGGGGTTTGCTTCTGTTAACATTCCATCCAAGAAACCCCCGTGGAGCACTTCAACTCTCTAACATAAGGGGATCCATGAGTCATAATCGACCCCACAGCCATGAACAAGAGCAGCATGCAGGAGACCTCATCAATTCCCTGGTTCAACCTCATGCATCATCACACTTGTCTACGGGTGGAGTGTCCAGACTAAAATAACTAGGAAAAAAGGTCTGGTGTTCTGCTTCCAAAAATCAGCCAACAAAACTCTATAGAGAGCAATAGTCTGATACACAACCAATCCTGGGTATGGGACAAGAGGAGGTGGGGTCAATTTAGCAGTGAGCAACAACAGCAGAGATGTAAAATAGGTGCACGTGAATGAATACATATCAACCTATACATTTAAAAATACAAAAGTGTAAAATTAAAAGCAATTAATTGTCTAAGTTGGAATTATTTAAAGGCGGAAACTGATCTTCAAATTCTCCTCATTCAGGATATTTGACTTGGAACAATGTAAACTTATTTTTAAAGTCACAAAACAAAGTTTTATAAGCAATTCTCAAAAATAAAACAAATACAATTCTGCATCCAGCTAGTGACAAAGCTACACAGAAAAGACTATTTTTAATGGTTTTAACCAAATTTTAATGGTTTTAACTAAATATAATCATTAAAAAGGCAGGAATCTAGGACAGATGAACCCCTCAGGACCAGCAGTGAGAGTGGCGATACCGGGAGGGAAGAGGGCGTAGAAAGGGAGAATCGATCACAAGGATCTACATATAACCTCCTCTCTGGGGGATGGGCAACTGAAGGGTGGGTGAAGGGAAAGGCCGGGCAGTGTAAGATAAGATAAAATAATAATTTATAAATTATTAAGGGTTCATGAGGGAGAGGGGAGCGGGGAGGAAGGAGGAAGGGAAAAAGGAAAATGAGCTGATTCCAGGAACCCAAACGGAAAACAAATTTTGAGAATGATGAGGGCAACAAAAGTATGTGTGCTTTACACAATTGATGTATGCATGGATTGTGATAAGAGTTGTCTGAGCCCCAATAAAATGATTTTTTTAAATGGCATTCCTGAGGCTAACACAAATAAATGTCACTGAGGCCAACACAAATATTTTTACTTAATTTTAATTATTTTGAATAATCATATGATGGTAATTACATGGATATAGCAAATTTTAGACTGTTAATTGACTATGGTGGAATAAAATAAATGGGATATGATATGCTAATCTAATTCAATAATTTCTGAAATCTTTCATAACCAAGATTCTCGGCATGAAAGACCGGAGATAAAATGTAGCAAAATTTTTTTAAAACCAGTATTCATACATTTGAACTAGTAGCATCAGTAGGAATTCTTAAGGCGTTTTACGTTTTAAAAAATATGCAGTGTTGCTTCCAATGTTTTATATATGTGTGTGTTTGTGTGTGTGTGTTATTATGTGTCATATACTTTTAATCCAATACATGGCAACCATAGCCAACAGTCCATGGTTTCAGGAGGTAGTATGTGAACAAGAAACAACGTTGCTGAAACTGAAGGAAGACGTGCCAACTTCACTGAATGCATTCGCCTAAAACAAGGCTCCAGGGATTGAGGGAATATTGAAATGTTTCAGAAAGCTGAAGAAGCGTTGGAAGCACTCACTCATCTATGTCAGGAAATTTGGAAGACAGCAACCTAGCCAACTGACTGGAAAAGACTCATATTTACGCCTATTCCAAAGAAAAGTGACCCAATAAAACACTCAAATGATATAATGATATCATTGATATTACACACAGGTAAAATTTTGCTTCAGATCAACCAACAATGGTGATAGCAGTACAATGAGAGAGAAGTGACAGAAGTTTGGGACAGATTCAGAAGAGGATGTGGAGCAAGGGATGCCATTGCTGATGTCAGATGGATCTTGACTCAACCAAAAAATACCAGACAGATGTTTACTTGTGTTTTATTGGCTATGAAAAGGCACCAGACTGTGTCAATAGCCATAATAAAATGGATAACTTTGAGGAGAACGGGGATTCCACAACACTTCATTATGCTCATTCAGAACTTGTACAGGGTCCAGAGGCAGCTATGCCAATAGAACAAGGGAACATTGCGTGGTGTGTGTCAAGGTTGTATCCTCTCACCAGGCTTGTTCAATCTATATACTGAGCCAATCACCAGAGAAGCTGGATTATATGAAGAAGAATGTGACATAAGGATTATTAACAACTTTGAAAAGCAGATGACACAGGCTTTCTTGCTGAAAGTTAGGAGGACTTAATGCACTTGCCAATGAAGATCAAGGATTTCAGTGTTCAGCATGGATTACAACTCAATGTAAACAAGACCAACATTCTCACTATCGGAACAGTAGATAACAGCATGATAAATGAAGAAAAGTTTGAAGTTGTCAATGATTTTGTCTTAGCTGCATCCTCAATTAGTTTTCCTGAAATCAGAAGTCCAGAGATAAAAAGATGAGTTTCTCATTCTTCTCAGCATTAACCAGTTTATTATGGTCCACGCAGTCAGATGCCTTTGCATACTCAATAGCACACAAATAAACATCTTTCTGGTATTCTCTGCTTTGAGCCAAGATTCATCTGACCTCAGAAATGACATCCCATCTTCCATATTATCTCTGACTCCAGCCCGAACTTCTGGCAGTTCCCTATTAATAACCTGCTGAAACTATTATTGGGTGATCTTCAGCAAAAGTTACTGCCAGGTAATATCAGTGATACTGTTCTACAGTTTGAGAATTCTGTTGAGTCATCTTTCTTGAGAATAGGTACAAATATGGATTTCTTCCAGTCAGTCTTCAAAATTTCCTGGCAGAGATGAGTGAGTACTTTCAGTGTTTGGCAAGCTTGTTGAAACATTTCAGTTGGTATTCCATCAATTCCTGGAGCCTTCTTTTGGCTAATGCTTTCGGTGCAACGTGGACGTCTTCCTTCAGCACCATTGGTTCTTGCTCATATATCACCTCATGGAATGGTTGGCTAGGTCTTTTGGTAAAGTGACACTGCATATTATTTCCATCTTCTTTGGATGCTTCCTGTATCATTCAATGTTTTTCCCTAGAATCTTTCAAGATTACAACTCATGGTTTGAATTTTTTAATTGTTTCCATTTCAGATACGCTGAGCATGTTCTTCCCTTTCAGTTTAATAATTCTAGGTCTTTGGACATTTCGTTATGATATTTGGCTTTGTCTTATTGAGTTGCTGTTTAAAATGTTCGATTAAGCACCTGACTTCATACTTTCTTCCCTTTGCTTCAGCTACTCTACGATTAAGAGCAAGTTTCACTCTATTTGATCTTCTCTTTCTTTGTTGTACTTTAATGACCTGGCTTCTTCATGAATGATAGTCTGGATGTCCACCCACAGCTCATCAGGTCTTATTTCCTTAGTGGTCGATGCAACAGATCTGTCCTTAAGATGCTCTCGAGACTCAGGGAGGATAGACTCAAAGTCATATTTTGGCTCTTGTGAACTTGTTTGCATGTTTTCAGCTTCATCCTGAACTTATAAATGAGCAATGGATGACCTGTTCTGTCTGCTGACATTGAGCTTCTCCATCATCTCTTCCCACAGATGTAGTCGATTTAATTTCTGTGTCTTCCATCTGGGGAAGTCCATGTGTTTCGTTTCCTTTTTTGTTGTTAAAAATTGTATTTGCTGTTAACAAGGCGTTAGTTTTGCAAAATTCTATTATTTGATCTCCAGCTTCATTTCTATCATCACATCCATATTTCCCATTTCTGTTTCTGACTTTTGCATTCCACTCATCAGTTATTATCAATGCATCTTCATTGTCTGTTTGATCAATTTCTGACTGAA